AGCAGGGGTTTCATTCCGCACTGTGAATTTAGTGAGCATCTTTGTTCTCCATGGTCACTTGACAGTATGGGGTGGTGGACAGAGCCCTTGTCTGGGCCCCAGGGAAGTGGTCCTCCTAACCACCCATCTTGCCTTTAACTACGCATCAATTCTTCTTCCTGGGACTCGATTCTTTCATCTGCATGATCAGGGTTGGTGGCCTAGAAAGTTTGCAAGATCCCATCCCACACTAGCCCTCTCTGTATCCTTTTCCCTCTGCTTTATCTACGTTGGGTCCCCATAGGTGAAAGAGCATTGGAAAATGAGCCTGTGCTCTTGGCAGTAAAGATGGCTCATAGTTTACACCAAGGGGACTTTGAACTCTTTTCAGGGATATGATAATAGAAGGAGCTGATTTGATTTCTCTGGCCTCTCCCCTCCCCATCAAGCCATTTCTTGCCTTTCCCTTCATTGGTCAGGATTAAGAATTTTTTTTTTAAATTTGTCTGATATTGTTTTTTCTTCTGTGTTTACTGATATCTTTGGGCCAGTTTTGCCATAGCTGTTTTCTCCTTCATCTCTTCTTGAAAGTTTCTCTGTCTGCTGCAAGTGGGGTGTGCCTGTAATCCCAGCTACTCACAGATTTGAGGCCAGCCTGGACAATTTAGCAAGACCTTGTCTCAAAATAAAAAGGGCTGGGGTGGGGGGTGGCGAAGCTTAGTGGCAAAGTATCCCTGGGTTCAATTCCCAGTACTGCAAAAAATTAAGTGATTTCTTTTTACTAACCTCCCCTTACCCTCTCTGCTTTCGGCACATGCCTGTGTGTTCACACACGCGTGCACACACTCACACACAAACACCATTTGCTTTATCATATTTCATAAAAATACAAAGGAGTGGCCCCATTCTGAATGATCAGTTCAGCTGGAAGCATATTTTTTTTTAAGAGAATTTTTAATACTTAAAAAGAAAACCCAACAGGCCTGCTCTCAGCTAGAGGCAAGAAGGTGGGGTTCTTTGCCGTGGTAGTTAGCAGCTGGCTCTGGCCAGTACTTACGTATAAACAGCAATTTTCCAAACTGGCATGGCTGCTGGGGCTTTCTTTGTGGAGCCAAGGGGCGTGTGGAGAGCAGTGGTGTTTAGTTAAATTATGGGTCTAGATGCAAAACTTTGCAGTGGGGATTTGTGAGAGCTTGACCACTCCCTACGTGCCTGCGTGCAAACTGGCAAGAGCGTGCGGGCACACACACATGCGCGCACGCACACACACACACAC